ATAAAAAAAAGAGGAGTGCATCAGGGATATATTTTCTCCATACCTTTTTAAAAATACTTTTAATTGATATTTTAATGAAAGTTTATGAAGAACTTGGATTTCCATTCATTCATTGTTGCACATTTTCATCCCCACTGCCCCCCCAGTTCACTTTTCTCTTTGAAAACAAATTCTTTCAATTCTTTCATTGTTGCATAATTTCCTTCACACCCCATCCCGCCTCCTCCTCCACTTTGCTATGCAGCTCTTATTCTGGACTGTTGTTGTGCAAATAATACCTAATCATATATTCCTTTTACACAGTTATTTCCTCTGTCTGTTTCAATGCAGTGTAAATTATTTATCCCCTCTTTTAAAAAATATGGAATGCTTCATGAAGTTGTGTGTCATCCTTGCGCAGGGGCCATGCTAATCTTCTCTAGATTGTTCCAATTTTAGTATATGTGCTGACAAAGTGAGCACTCTCCATACCTTTTCCATCTATTTGTGGAACAGTTCATTTGGGAGGCTGGACCTTATGAAGAAGAAGGTGACACCAGGATTGGAGGAAGACTCATCAACAATCTGTGTTATGCAGATGACACAACCTTGCTTGCCAAAACTGAGGAGGACTTGAACCCTTTGCTGTAGAAGGTTAAAGACTGTAATCCTCAATATGGATTTCATGTCACCATTAATGAAAACAACAATTCTCACCACTGGGCTAGTTGGAAGCATCATAATAAATGGGAGAAAATTGAAATAGTTAACAATTTCATCTTGCTCAGCTCCACAATCAACGGTCTTGGAACCATCAGTCAGGAAATCAAAAGGCAAGTTGCTTTAGCAAAGTTTGCTCAGGAAGCTCTCCAGAGTGCTAAAGAGCAATGATATCAGTCTAGAAACCAAGGTGTGCCTGATCCAAGCCATGGTCTTAACAATTGCTTGATTTGCATCAGATAGTTGGACAATGACTAAGGATGACAGGAGAAGAATCGATGCCTTTGAGTTGTGGTGCTATAAAAGAGTATTAGACATAATATGGGCTGCCAAGAGAACAATCTGTCCAGGAGGGGGTAAAACCACCTTGCTCCTTGGAAGCAAGGATTTTTAAGCTCCATCTCATGTACTTTGGGCATGCTTCCAGGAGTGAGCAATCCTTGGGGAAAGACATCATACTTTGAAGGATGGGGGTTAACACAGGAGAGAAAGAGCATGGATGGGATGGATTGGCACAGTTATTGTCCTCTTCAGTTTCAATAAGCAAGCTTGTGTCATCTACATAACACGGGCTGTTGATGAGTCTTCCTCAAATCTTGATGCCATAATTCAATCCATAAGTGGTAACAGAGAAATAAAATCACATTGGAGAAGCAAGCTTCCTGTCATGAACTCTCCCAGCTTTCCATGCACTTCATATCTCTATATATGTAAATATGTATGGTCTCATTTATTTGCATGAATGATTACTGTCTACCACCTTCTTGGCAATGAGAAATAGGCTTCGTGAGAGCTGAGTCTTCCTCAATGGCTTTGATCTAGAACCTAAAGCATCCTGCACATAATAAGCACTCAGTTACATTCACCAAAATTAGTGAAAGACTGAAAGATGAGCCATTTTACTAATGACTTCAATAATTAAGTTGACTCTGGGTGTTCCCATTATTTCAGCAATGGTGAAAAAACAGCAGGATGGTGACTGTTCCACAAAATAGCTGCTTTTGTGAGCTTTCACATTCTAGGAATGAAGGTGAGGAAAACGGAATTTCCTCAACAGTGCTTTGTACATAAGCTCACAGTTTAACCTTTCTATTCTAATAGGATAACATCTAACATGAACTGTGCTTTCAGAACTTAATTTATTCAGCATCTATTTAGATGTGTTTTAAATGACTAGGGCCTCAGATTCATCTCTATGCATTAATTCTCAACTGAAAGGAAGAACTGTCAAATCCCAAAACATTTCTTGTAAAGTTAAAACAATATTGTGATTTGAAGTTTTTTTCTTTGTGAGTTTTAATAGTAAGGTGGTCATGTTACCTAATTCTGAAACTCACATGTGTTACGTATAGAGTTAGTGTACAAATATCATTGATATTGTTGGGGTAGGGTAATCAATAGTAATCATTCATTACTCTGAGTAAACCTTGGTTTACACAATGGTTATTGCTAGAAGCCAGAGGTAGCTGCAAAATCTCTATCACCCCCTCTAAGTGACCTTAAAGAAGCATATGTCCCAGAAATGTACAGTGCATAACATACAGGGATAACCTGACTTCAAGTCACAGTCTCAGGCTTGGCCTCTCTTAAACAGAAATTCAGAATCTATCTGTGTTATCACCCTAACTTTTGATAAGAGCTTATATATCTCATGCTAAAAAGGGGAGACTTGATTTCCTTGAAAATATAAAAGGAAGCTCTGGTAACTTTTAAATAATTTATTACATTATTAATCCAGTTACATTTAATTGATTCTAGCTAGGCCTATGAAATAGCAGATAAGATTCAGATATTAATTCCCCTCCACATTTATCTCAGTATATTCTTTCCATCTTCTTTTAATACTCCCTGGATCATTTAATATTCTGCCTAAAGCATCCTTGATTGTAGCAACTCAAGGTTTAAATTTGTTCTTCAGTTCCTTGAGCTTAAGAAATGCTGAGTGAATTTGGCCCTTTTGATTTTCTGACTCCAGCTCCTTGCACATTTCGTTGTACTATTTTACTTTGTCTTCCCGCATTGCCTTTTGAAATCTTCTGTTCAGCTCTTTAGTATCTTGAATTCTTCCTTTTCTGCTTTGGCTTTTCTGCACTCCAGTGCAATATTCAGGGTTTCCTCTGACATCTATTTTGGTCTTTTCTTCCATTCCTCCTCTTTGTAATGACCGTTTGCACTCTTCCTGGATGGTACTCATGATATCCTCCCACAACTCATCTGGTCTTCGCTCATTAGTGTTCAAGACCGCAAACCTGTTCCTGAGATCCTGTATTGAAAGGAATTGGCAGACACAGAAGAATTTCATGAAACAACAGGAGACTATGGTGATGAAGGAAGAAGTTCAAGCTGCTTTAAAGGAAATAGCAAAAATTAAGGCTCCAGGAATAGATGGTATACCAATTGACATATTTCAGGTAACAGATGCTGCCCTGGATGTGCTCACCAAGTTGTGCCAAGAAATCTGAAGAACAACCACTTGGCAAACTGACTGGAAGAGATCTATATTTATAGTTCCCATTCAAAAAAGGTTGACCCAAGAGAGTGTGGAAATTATAGAACAACATAATTTATTTCACATGCAAGCAAGATTCTGCTGAAGATTATCCAAAAACGACTGGAACAGCACATCAGCAGAGAACTGCCAGAAACCCAGGCTGGGTTTAGAAGGGGTTGTGGTACTAGGGATATTGTAGCTAATGTTAGATGGATCTTAGCTGAAAGCAGGGAATACCAGAGTAATGTCTACCTGTGTTCCATTGACTATGCAAAGGCATTTGACTGTGTGGATCATAACAAACTGTGGCTGACTCTGAGAAATATGGGAATCCCAGAACACTTGATCATGCTAATGCGAAACATATACTTCAGAACAGAGCAAGGAAACACTGCATGGTTCAAAATTGGGAAGGGTGTACGTCAGGGATGTATCCTATCTCCATACCTTTTCAACCTATATGCAAACAGATTATCCTGGAGGCTGGGCTCTTTGAGGAGAAGTGTGGCATCAGGATTGGTGGAAGATCCATTAACAATCTGTGTTATGCAGATGACACAGCCCTGCTTGCTAAAACTGAGAAGAACCTGAAGCCCTTGCTGCAGAGGGTCAGGACTTCAGTCTTCAATACAGATTGAGGCTCGATATCAAGAAGACAAGGATTCTCACCACTGGAACAATTGGCAGCATCAACATAGATGATGAAGAGGTTGAGATTGTTCACAGCTTTAGTTTGCTTGGCTACCACAGTCAACACTCTTGGCACCAGCAGCCAGGAAATTAAAATATGTATTGTGATGGGAAGGTCTGCTGTTAGGGACCTCTCCAAAGCACTGAAGAGCAATGGTGTCACTCTGGAGACTAAGGAGCACCTGATACAGACCATGGTCTTTGCAATAAGTTGTTATGTGTCAGAGAGTTGGACAATGACTAGGGAGGATAGAAGGAGAATTGATGCCTTTGAGTATTGAATGTACCATGGACTGCCAAGAAAACAAACAGTTACATCCTGGAGAGTGTTAAACCAGGCTGCTCCTTGGAGGCAAGGATTCTGAGGCTTTGTATGACATACTTTGGACATGTTGCAAGGAGGGACCAGTCCTTGGAGAGGGACATCATGCTTTGTAGGGTGGAGGGACAGCACAGGAGGGGAAGATCCTCTATGAGGTGGATTGATTCAGTGACTGGGGTAATTGGAATGATTGTACTGGAGACAGTGATTAGGACTGTTGTATACAGGTTTGCTATGAGTCACAAGTAACTCAATGGCACATAACAACAACAACAAAAACCACATCTATCTCAGGGAGCTCTGGTAGCCTTATGGATAAGGAGTTGTACTGCCAACCCAAAGGCAAAGAGTTTCAATCTCCCTCTCATGAAATTTATTGCTTCTGAAAACCCCTTGGACAGTCAGTTATGAGTTGGTTCTGACTCAATAGCAGTGAGTTGTCGTTACTATTGTCCACCTCTACCTGAGAAAGTCAGTGCTAAGGAGGTCCAGGCTCACACTTTTCCCATGTAGAGCATCTTCAGATTGTGCATACTAGTTTTGTGTGTATATGTGGAGGGTGGGAGAGGCCTCATGGCCTTTATTGAAACTTCCTGAAGGTAGAATCTAAGTAACTCCAGACTCATTCCATGAATGTAGAAATGTGCAGGCTTATGGAGCACACCACAGAAGTTGTGAAAGCAAGTACTGGGTAAGCACATATCATATTGTGTAGATGAGCTGGAGAGGAGGGTAAGGAGGTGAGCAGGTGAGCACATCTCATATCACATTTCCTGGTTTTTTTCCTTCAACCCCCAGGCCTTAAAAGGCATGGCTATTGACAATCATTTATTGGCCCTGCGGGAGCTAGCCCGGGAAGTGTGCAAGGAGCTGCCGGAGATGTTCACGGAGGAGACTTACCTGACAAGTAATCATTTCATCCTCTCCACCAGCCAGGTACAGGCCTCACGGTGGCCATTCTCTGTGTCTTCTTTATTTCTTCTTCTAAGGATTAGAAGAGAAGGAATGCAGAGGCAATACTTGGATTAGAGCTGCCCTACTCCACGGGCCTAGTCTTAATGTAACTAACTATACTTACAAAACCCCTGTCTTTATTTTCTTGTGCTATTATATCAGAAATACCACAAATGGGTGACTTTAAAGAACAGAGGTTTATTCTCTCTGTTCTTTAGAGAGTTCAGGAGGCTAGAAGTCCAAATTCAGGGTACAACTGTGGGAGAAGATTATCAGCTTGGGGTGAGATTCTTGCTTGCTGGTATTTTCTGTTCTTTATGATCTTCCTGTGGTATCTCTTTTTCTCATTTGTAATTCTTTGTCTAAACTGCTCTTAAAGCACAACCTACATTGATATGCCCTCATTAACATTACAAAGAAAGTCTTTTTCCTAATAGAATTCTATCCAGAGGTGTACTAGTTAGGATTCCAACATACGTTTGTTGTGAACACAGTTCAATTCTATTTCCATATAAGCTCATGTTCAAAGGTAACAGGGTTAGGACTTGAGCACATCTTTTGAGGAAGTGAAGACATGATTCAGCCCCTAATACCAATTCAGAGCCTGTTGGGAGGGGTCAGGGAAGTCTTACCCCTGTTTCTTATGAACACTAAGACCTTCAGCAAAATAACTTAAACTTGGGACACTGGTGTCACCTTCTAAATGGGAAAAGCCTGAACTCAACCCACTCAGAAGGGGAAATAAACAAGTTGCTACCAAGTGACTTCTACATCATGACTAGCTCCTGTGTTTGGAAATAGACCTGCACTCCACAGGATGTTAAATGGCTGTGATCTTTCCCAAACAGGTTGTCAGCCATTTCTTCTCAGGCATTTCTGAGCCTAATCTGAAACCTCTTGGTTACTACTTGAGTATTTAACTGTTTGTGGCACCCAGGTACTTATGTGGAAGAAAGTATCACCTTCATAATTTACTGAAACTTCCCTTCATCTGGAAAAGATTGGGCATAGACAGTCAAAGAGGCTGTTGAAGTTATGTTGAGGGTAAAAGCCCATGCTGTGATTCAGTTTTGTCATGCTGGCAGTGAGCTTGTGGACATAAATGAGGAGGTCAGGATGCAACATCAATTCTTTCGGAAACCATCCAGAGGCAAAAGGTGCTTTGGAATGGCTTTATAGCTGGCAGCTGTTGCACAGCAAATTTATCTGACAACAAAGTGACTCTATTAGCAAGACTAATGGCTTGTTCTGCTCCATTAGAACAGTCAGTGTCACTTCCAAAGGTACAAACATGCAACACTACAAACCTGTATGTTTAAAACAAACTCCTCTCAGCACCTGCCCACAAATGCAGTTTTCCTCCTAGAAACAACTAATAAATTTAATTTAGGGTGTGCTAGGTTTTTTTCAATAAGGAAAAATTAGCATTTATGGCTCCAATACCTTCAGAAACACATTTTCTTGGTTTGTGATCCTAGACTGCAAAAGTCTCAGAGCTGTGAATTCAATGCATATGAGGCACATAACTAAAGCTTCAGTTAATGGCAACCTTCAGACTCTCCAGTGCTGGGTAATTGTGCGTAGCCAAGCTGTGGGGGGAAATCAGACCAGCCAGGCATCCTGACAGTAATTAAGGATCTGAAGTAAAGCGATTGAGAAGAGTGGCCAGATTTCTTCTAATTCTTAGAAGACTCCCTCTGGGAAGTCATTTAACTGTCAGATGCCACCAGTGGGTCATTTTGTAGCTTACTCTGACTGCCTCCAGGTCTCAAATGGCCCCCAGGTAAAGGAGACATTGAGCCCAGACCCTGTGCCTGTGCACACTGGGAACAGCTGGCCCCAGAAAGGGTGCAAATCCCCGTGGGGTGGGCTTTCCAGTGAGGTGGGCTTCCAGTAGAGTGAGTGGGCTTCTAGTAGGGGAGAGGGTTTGCAGTGGGAAGAGTGGCATTCCAGTAGCGCAGTGGATTTGCAGTGAGGGAGTAAGCTTCCAGTAGGGAAGAAGGCTTGTAGTGGGGGAGTGGGCTCTCAGTAGAAGAGAGGGCTTCCAGTGGGAGGAGTGAACTTCCACTGGGGGAATAGGTTTCCAGTGTGAGGAGTGGGCTTCCAGTGAGAGTAGTGGGCTTCCAGCAGAGGAGTGGGTTTCTAGTTGTGGAGGGGGCTTCCAGTAGTGGAGAGGGGTTGGAGTGGGGGAGCGAGCTTCCAGTGGGGAAGAGGGCTTCCTGTGGGGGAGTAGATTTCCAGTGGGGAGAGTGAACTTATATTGGGGGGGGGCTTGTAAAGAGGAAAGTGGACTTCCAGTGGGGTAGTGGGTTTCCAGGGGAAGAGTGAGTTTGTCGCTCCTTTTCCTCTGATCTCATGTGAATGACCCTCTAAAACACAAGTCAGATAACTTCTTTTCTTCATGACCATGGCTGTGTCCATAGATGCTCTGTCTGAGCACCCTTATTGCTCGACATTCTAGCTAGCTTTCAAGTTGCATTTCACAATAATAACTTATGACCTGCTTTCTCCAGGTACCCACAACCATGGAGATGTTTTGCTGCTATGGTCCTGTGGTCCCTGATGGGTATGGTGCCTGCTACAACCCACAGCCAGAGAATATCCTCTTTTGCATCTCCAGCTTTCATAACAGCAAAGAGACCTCTTCTACCAAGTTTGCCAAAGCGGTGGAAGAAAGCCTCCTTGAAATGAGAGACCTCTGCCTCCTGCCTCTTTCTGCCATGGACGAGGCCCTGGCAACCAAAGGAATGGCAGTGAGGCCTAGCTTTTGACATCTACTCAGTTCATTTCTCTCACACTCCACACCATACATTCTGCAGCTGTTAGACCCTTCCAAACTTCTCATACCCCACATGCCAGCTTTCTGTATCCCATCAGTCCTCACGCTCAAGTCATAGACTGCATGAAGTCATCATCAAAGCTTGAGGTTTGGAGAAAAAATGTGCATTTTATGCATGGACATTGTCATGCCTTGTGAATGCACCCTCAGGCCTGGGCCCTGAGAAGTAAGATCAGTTTGACTACAATTGGCCAGGTAGAAGTAGGGCTTGTTCATCCTCTGTCAAAATCTAAAGCTGTTCCTCCTGATACCACAGGATCAAGAGAAGTGGGGTGATGTTTTTATACAACAAAAGAATGAATAACCCATTTTAAATGCATATATTAAATAAATCTGATCTTAACATTAAAGATGACCTCCACTTGTGAAGAAAATGAAGAGGACTTGAAGCTCTTTCTGCAGAATATCAAAGACTACAACCTTCAATATAAATTATATCTCAATATCAAGAAAACAAAAGTCCTCATTAACTAAGCCAATAGTCAACACCATGATAGATAGAGAAAAGATTTAACTTGTCAGTTTCATTTTACTTCAATCCACAGCCAATATCCACAGTGGCAGAAGAATCAAAAGACATGTTGCAATGGGAAAATCTGTTAAGAACCTCTCCAAAGTGCTAAAGAGCCAGGATGTTAGTTTAAAGACTAAGGGTACACCTGATCCAGGCCATGGATTTTTTCAGTTGCTTTCTATGCATCTGAAAGTAGAAGGATGACAGGATGACAGAAGAAGAGATGCCTTTGAGTTGTGCTTTTGGAGAAGAGAACTGACTAGTCCATGGTCTGACAAAGGAACAAACAAGCTTGTCTTTGAGGAAGTGCATCCAGGGTGTGCCTTAGAGCAAGTATGGTGAAACTTTATCTCACATATTTTGGAAAGACATCAAGCTTGGAAAGGTGGAGAGTAAGAGAAAAAGAAAAAGACCCTCAACAAGATGGATTGACACAATGATTATAGCAATGGGCTTGAGCATCTCAGAGATCATGAAGGTGGTGCAAGACCTGTCATTCATAGGGTCACTATGAGTTACAACTCACATGAGTTACAACTACAGTTGACTTGATAGTACCTAACAGCAATAACAACTACCTCTGGTGCAATAGTTTAAATGCTAATAACTAGCAAGTTGGCAGTTTTAAACTACTAGCCTCCGGCCTTGAAAACCCTAGTGGGTGATTCTAACCTGTCCTAAGGGTGCTGTGGGTCAGCATAGACTTAGCAGTGGGTTGGTTAGGGTTGGGCTTGTCCTATAAGCAACCCTCTACATACACACACATGTCAAACCCAAGTTAATTTAAAGCCCTGGGCCCAGGAATGTTCTTCTCTTTTCCCTTTAAAGGCTGCCTTCAGCTAAGGTCAGAAACTCTGATTAGGCCCCTCTGGAAGGGGAGAAATAGTAATTTGTCACTGAAGGCCATTGTGCACCCTGTTTTCCTGGTGGCCTGAGTGACAGCTAAGGGTCTGGGGAGAGAAGCCAACCTAGCCTCAGCAGGAGGTACCTGATAAAGACAGGAGCAAGAGCTTCTAAAGGCCCAGCTGCTGAGCATTTCCAAGTTGTTTCCTCCTCTGCTTCTCACAAAGTTGCCCATTGGTTATCTGGGTAGTTTTTTTCTTCCCTATGGGGGAGCAAGAGAATTGTTTCTGATTTTTTTAAGAAAGCAACTCTGATATTAATTTTCAGAAAATAACCTCAGTTGGTGTCCCAAAATATTCACTTGGCAGATATTGTTCTGGGGTGCAGATTAGAAGTGAGGAGGAGGGGCATAAGGCAGTGCTCTTGGGGAGCCTAGGGTTAAGAATGTTGGGAGAGGGAATATTCATACACAGAGCCAGGACTAACAGGGCACCTGCACTGACAGGCAGCTCAGAATCAGAATGGAATTGTCCTGAGGGGCTATTAAAGAGGCAACTGGATGACACAAAACAAAGGCTTCCTATTGAGACATATTTTGGTAGGAGGTCTGAACAAACCAGAAAAAGGGAGTGAGAAAGCAGCCGGAAAGTAAAAATTGCACATCAGAATGCCTGCATCTGTCTAGAGAAGGCAAGGATCCAGCTCTCTACCACTGTGAGTTCCAGCAGGCCTGCACCACGAGGCCTTGCCTCCATGCTCCATCTAGCAGAGCATGCTGAGTACGGCCCAGGCCCAGGAAGCTACAGGTGTCTTCTCTCCACCAACATGAAAATGTCATGCATTCTGACCTGGATTGAAACAGGTGGGACAGAGGTGGGGCATGTGTTTTATCTTTGATCAGCTCCTTGAAAGCATAATCAATGCAAACCTTAAATCCCCTGGCTCAAAGAGAGTTTGGAGATCAGATTTCTACTGGATGATCAGGGAGATTTTTGGCACTGCCCTTCAGTGTGCAAATCCAACTATAGGCCCTGGTCCCCTCCTTCAGATATCTGCCTTCTTCTTGTCCTTGGGAAGTGGCAGTTGACAAACCAGGAAATCGCAAGGGTCTGGAAGTCACACTCCACCTGCTGTAAGCTGTCCTATGAAATGGCCTGTTGAAGGCCGAGATTTTGGATTTCCTCAGATTTCAGGGAAGGCTGAGAACGTTGGGGTCAAAAGCCCCATTGGCTTAAATGCTCATTGTCAGCTGGGGACAAGAACTGCCGTTATTGTGTAAACTGATGAAGGTCAGGAAATGGCCATGAAAGGCTGCATACCAGCAAGCTACCAGAGGTGTGGCACATCATTAGATGATGGTTCCCCTTACAGGTACCGTCTATGTGACTCACTCTTCTCTACAGATCCAAATACCTGTCTGATACTCTCCAAGCACAGGGAAAGCAAAACTCACTCTGTATCCTCACATATGAAGCATGCACCACAAGCACTTCCAGTGTTTCAAGAAGAGTGCTGGTGGGCCCTTGGAAGAACAGGACACCTGTCTTTGAGAATAGAAATGGAAGCTGGTCTTCCTCCTCCAAGAGTAGCCTGGTGCACTGAGTCATTATGCAAAGGCAATGCTGAGCCATAGGCACTTCTGTGGGATCGGTAATTAAAGGACTGCTGCAGGGTCCTTCAAAAGATGGAAAAGTTATGCATAGCAAGGGTCATTTCAGAACCATGTTGCATAATAAAAATGTATGTGGCCACCTTACAACACTGCTAAGTTGCTAAAATATAGAAAATTAATATTTTAGTTCTATTTTTGTAAAATAGTTCTAGATTTATGACAATATATACATGTATATTTACAATCTTCCAAGTTTAAGTTATAGTATTGTGCTTTTAGATATAGATGATTGATAGATAGATAGATAGATAGATAGATAGATAGATAGATGATAGATAGATACACATACACACACATGACTTAAAACTGTATATCAAATCTACTATTGGCAAATTATGTAAAGATTGAAAACCTGTCCTCAATAAAAAGTACTGCCAAGAAAGACTGTATTAGTTATTGTTTCTCCCCAGAAATGCAATGAAATATTTTACTGTGAAGTATGGGACTGGGTGAATAACTTGATTGCCTTTGCTGGTGTTTGCCAGCAGCAGTGTTGAATGTTAGAGATACAGGCACAGGGAAAGGAGTCTCACTGGGCCCCTCCTACCCTGAGGCTTCCTGGGATGTCTATTCTAATTTGTCTGAAACCTGATGTCTAACCTGTCTGCATGAGGGCACACAGGCAGCAGGGAGCAGGAGAAAGCACCTAGCTAAAGAGGACTATACTCTTGACTTTCCGGCTTGCTATGAATTTTGAGCAAGTTACTTCACTTCTGTACATTTTAGTTTCTCCTACAGAGCTGCATTTGAACCAGAGAGGCATAGTCTTTAGGTTACCAGTATAACTTTCTATGGACTACATCAGTAGAGCTCCTTGTCTATAAAATGGAATATTGATATCCACACCACTCACTTCAATGACTGAGATGATCATTGTTGGAAAACACTGGAAGTTCCGCAAAGCTGAGTATTTTTAGCCCAGGATAACATACACACACAATTTTCTTCCTGGTCAGCACACAGATTTGTCTCAAGCTGCAAAGTCCTCTACATAGCTGAACTCTCCTGCACAAGAACTGACATGCCTTCGAATATGAGCCCCAAATACCAATGAGAGCCTAAAAGGAACTTCAATTGTATAGGTGCAGGGGATACAATGTTGTGACAGGATAATCGCCTTATATATACAAGGAACACCTGTCAATACCACCATTATTCAAATATATGCACCAACAACAAGAGCCAAAGAGGAAGAAACACATGATTTCTACCAACTTTTGCAGTTAGAAATTGATCAAATATGCAACCGGGATGCACTAATAATAACTATGACTGGAATGCAAAAGTTGAGAATGGAGAAGAAGGATTGGTAGTCAGAAAACATAGGCTTAGTTACAGAAATAAACCTGGAGATAAAATGATAGTTTTGTACAATGATTTTTTAAATTTTATTTCAGATACCTTTTATAAGAAACACAAATTCAGACTACATACATAGATCTCTCCTGATGATCTGCACAAGAATCAAATTGGCTATATCTGTAGAAAGAATTGTTGGAGAAGCTCAATATCAGCTGTGAAAAGTAGGCCAGGTGCTAATTGTGGAACAGTTCACCAATTACTCATATGTAAGTCCAAACTGAAGCAAAAGAAAATGAAATCAAATCCACAAGAACCAAAATTTGGCCTTGAATTTATTCCTCCTGAATTCAGAAACTATCTCTGGAAGAAATTTGGAACCTTGAACACTGAAGAGCAAAGACCAGAAGATCTGTGAGAGGATATCAAGAATATTATTCATAAAGAATGCAAAAGGTCATTAAAAAGACAAAGGATGAAGAAAAGAACAAGATGGATGTTGCAAGAGACTCTGAATAACGCACTAGAGTGCCAAGAAGCCAAAGCAAAGGGAGAAATCAAGAAGTTAAGGAGGGAGATCCAGGATGGCGGCAGAGGCAGAGGCAGAGACAGCATGGTGAGCTGCGGGAGCAGTGAACCACTTAAAGCAGGGCCATTATGGCCTTCTACAGACTTCGGCTTATTGATAATTGAACACTTAAACAGTTGATGACTGGCCCTCAGTGAAGATCAAGGCTCAACAACAGAAATTCAAGGATTCCCAAGGAGGAATGAGTGAGTCTCATGGCTCCCAACCCCCTTTCGCAGAGCCCATGCCGCACAGCTGCCACAGCTCCATGAGGCTTCCACAGCCGGAACCAATGGATTCCCTCACCCAGGATGGATGCTGGGCACTGGCCCTCCTCAAGACTGGTGCAGTGAAGCCACCACACTGCCACAAGGTGGACTTGTTCTGGAAAGAATTCTTGGAGCCAGGATGGTGGTGGTGGGAGAAGCAGGCACCCACTGGCCGCCTGTGCGAGAGGGGCCGCATGCCCGCCGGGCGCCTGAGCAACAGGGGGTGGGGGGGCATGCCCCCAACAGCTGCCTGCACTGGGGGGGTTGGGCTGCGCATCCCCGCTGGCCACCTGTGCTGGGTGGGGGCACACCCCTGCCAGCCGCCTGTGTGGGAGGTAGGAGATGGGATGCATTCCCCACCATCTGCAGGTTTGGGTTTCCTTAGACAGGCCAAAGAAGACGATTACCTATACAATGGATTGCAGAAAGTCACTGTGAGTCTGATGACAGTGGCCGCATGCACAAGAGGACCAACATCCTAAATGCACCACATATTTTGTTCTGTTGAATGCTTCTGCCAAAAGATGGTTAGACCTGGGGGGAGTCTGTTCACAATTCTCAGGTTCCCTTTATTATATACAAAGGCAGTGACACCTACTTCAAAATATAGTATGACCACTTATGGGGTGGTAAAAGTGGTGGTGCTGGAATTGAAGACACTATCCCTGACCACATAGTCCTTGGTCAGGCGAGGGGACCAGACTGGAGTAGGGGAAATTGGAGGGGGAGTATACCAGCCAGCTCCTGGGGGGTGCTGCCCTGCTTGGGATGGGCTGCCTTCGGCCCCTGGCTTGGGGCAAGCCGTCGCGGCCCTCAGGGTGAGCTCCTCAGTTCCCAGATTGTGCCATCTGACCCCTGAGTGGGGGGGGGAGGAAAGAATGCCTAGGGTATCCAGAGAATGTTATCTAGGCCACCTTCTGCCACCTTCTCCCCCAGTAAACCTGAAAGCAACACCCTCAAAGCCCTTCTATCTGTAACTCACAAGTTTGTTCTCTCTAGATTTGCTCCCTATCCTATAGGTAACCTTAACACTGAGTTTTACTCCAGAATTGATCCTGAACCCAGTACCCGTGACAAAAGGAAATACAACTGACAGCTAAACAAGCAAAGGAGGATGGAGCCTCTGGGTTCAACCAGCCATCCCCACTGGACCCACCTGGGAAAACACTTTGAAGTCTAGAGGGGAGCAAAT